GTCTCGGGCTTAGGGTTAGGGTTAGGGCTAGGGCTAGGGTTAGGGTTAGGGTTAGGGCTAGGGTTAGGTTTAGGGCTAGGGTTAGGGTTAGGGTTAGGGGGTATGGCTAGGGCTTGGGCTAGGGCTAGGGCTAGGGTTAGGTTTAGGGCTAGGGCTAGGGTTAGGGTTAGGGTTAGGGCTAGGGTTAGGGTTAGGGCTAGTACTAGGGCTATGCTTAGGTTTATGGTTAGGGTTAGTGCTAGTGATAGGGTTACGGTTAGGTTTAGGGTTCCATGATCATTTCTGGAGGAGGCTGGGCTTATGTTTTTACTGCTGGGTTCTGCAAATTCTTGCTTCTCTGTGTTTCACATGGGGTACTAGGGGTCAGGCTTAACTCTCAGAGATGTTTTCCGTGGTGTGCCAGAAAAAGAATCCCAGAGGAATATATGGGAAGTATAGCTAAGGAAGAAATAGAGGGGCCCAGTGCATGGAATACAGGAAAGAGAGGCCTGGCCGGGTTCAGGAGTGGGGTCTTCGGGGACAGTGGAGAATAGGGAGGGGGGGGCGAAGGCCAGTGGTTTAGGGTTAGGGTTAGGGTTAGGGTTAGGGGTCGGCCCCACGGCCAGAAGGAGGTGAGGCTGTTGAGGCTTCACTGGACCAGGGTGCACCTCTGTACCCCTCCCTGGGCTCAAGAAGTCCAGAACAGATGGGGAGGGAGAAGATCCTATGGGGCGGCAGCTGATTCATCCCCTTTAGCAAGGGTCCCTCAGCCCTCCCCCTTACCCGTCCTCCAGCCCAGGGGGACTGGAGCTTCCATCAGGTGAGAGGGAAGAGTTAGAGAGACCACAGTAAAGGGGCTCAGGGTCCCCCATGCCCACGGCCCACTCCGGCCACCCACCAGTCATTCCAGGCAGGCCCTGGTAGGGGTGCTAGCTGAGCCTGGGCTCTGTGGGGTGGGGTGGGGGAGAGGCCAGAGCAAACAGCAAGGGCTCCTGGTCTTTGGGAAGCTGTTCAGGATGTGTCCCGGAAGACTCCACCCGGGAACCTGGCCGAGCGAGATGGTCTGTGTGTGGCAGAGCAGGGACCTCTGCTGTCCAGTTCAGGGAGGAAGGAGTTTAACAGTCGCCCCTCCATCTGAACAAGTCAACATCTGAACAAGCTGAGAAATGAGCTCTGCTCAGATTCGGCCATCAGAGAAGGAGGCCGCGGGGCAGACTGTTCCCCAGTTTGGAGAGATAGGGTCGGCCCCACGGCCAGAAGTGAGGGAGCCGGCCCACACGACTGACAGTCTGAATCCCGGCCCTGGCAGCTTGAGAAACACACCGGGGACATGAGCCCCAAATCTCGAAAGGACGGAGAGCTGGAGAAGGGACTGCAGCGTGGCCATGCTCGCTCGGTCTCTCCCTGGTGAGGGCACATGTCCTCTGGCAAAAAAAAAAAAAAAAATAGACTCAGGAGACAGACGACTGCATACAGAGGCTTCCCGCTTACTGGGGCAGGAACCCCAACAGAAAGCAGTGCTGGGGACAGGGAGGCCTGAGCGACAGCTGCGGCTCAGTGCAGACGAGCTCGCGAGAAAAGCTCGGGGGACCCGGTCATTAGGGGCTGCCCACCATTTTGTGAGGTTTCCCTCTAGGAGGTGGACCCAATTCTCACAGCGAAGATCTCTTTCCAGCAAGGAAAGAGAAAAATGACCACTTGAAATATCCTAGAGTGGTTTTTTGTGTGTGTGTGCGTGTGTGTGTGTATGCGTTTTTTCTATAGGACTCATGTACGAGAGAAAGACACCCACACAAAGTCTCCACCCTCAGAGCACCAGCAGTTGGCATAATGGCTATGTCACTGAACTCCCTTTTAGTCGACCGCGGTTCGAGTCCTGGACCCGGTGGCTTAAAACTCATCATGGGCATGTGTGCCCAAGATCCCGAGAGGAGAATGGAGGAGAAGGGATTGCGGTGTGGCTATCCCCTCTGGAGGGTGATTTCTTGCTTTCTGTCTCTCTGTCTCTGTCTTTCTGGAGAGCGCACATGTCTTATAGCAAAAACCTCTCCAAAATAAAAAGTCTCCACCCCTCGGGGATGGCCACACCTCAATCCTTTCTCCTCCAGTCTTCTCTCAGGATTCGGGCAAGCACCCACATGTGCCTGGAGTATTTTTCAATCCTCCGGGTCTGGGACTTGAACCTCATAGTCAGACATGTGGGACCCAGCTGCCTTAACCTCCACACCACTGGCTGGCCTGCCAGAGCATTCTATTCTCACCAAATCCTGACCTGAAGAGAGACTATTTTACCAGCATCTAATCTCTGCTCTGCTGGGGTTTTTCCAAAGCCTAACTCACCTGGGGGAAGGCAATCACCTGACTCCAGCCCCTCCAGTCAGCCTGTCTCACCTAAGGGGGTGACGAAGGGAAAAACACGGGGCCGGCAGGTGGCTTAGTGGTTAAGGCACTGGACTCCCACATGGTTGGCTACAGTTTGAGTCCCAGACCTGGTGGCTTGAAACTCACACCAGTCGCGCGCGCGCGCTTGTGTGTGTGTGTGTGTGTGTGTGTGTGTGTGCCCAAAATCCCAGGAAGAGAACGGAGGAGACGGGATCGAGGTGTGGCCATTCCCCTGGGGATGATTTTTCATTTTCCCTCTCTCTGTCTCTCCAGTGAGTGCACTTGGCCTGTAGCAAAAATGTCTCCAAAAAGAACAAAAGGCCTTTACGAAGTTCACAGTCCAGGCCCAGGCTCCCTCACACACAGACCTGATCGCCCACCTTAGCACGTCACTAAAGCCTGCTGGCCGGGCTGACACGCCCTTGGAGCTGGTGTGTCGCGTCTGCCTCTCCACAATACATTCTGAAGCAATGCTGAGAGACAGAAATAAAATTCGCAGACAGCAAGCTGCAGAGCCAGACTCAGACATGCCGGGATATCGGAATACCAGACCAGGAATTTAAAAAAACCTCTATGATTAATATGCTAAGGACTCCGATGCCGCAGAGCAGGGACCAGCTCCGACTTCCAAACCGTCACCCACTCCCGAAGCTCACGGCAATCCTGGCCTGAGGCTCGGCAGCTTCTTCAGTGTGTCAGGGTGGCCCAACCAACAGGGAGCTAGCAGCAGGTACATCAGAGCCAACAGGCTTCCAAAGGCACGCAGTTTTAAATTGTTTTTAAGAGTTCTGCTGTAGGACATGTGCTTGCCAGAGAGAGACAGCGAGAAGGAAAGTGAGAAACTACCCGCCGAGGAGATGGCCACGCTTCAATCCTTTCATTCTCCTCCTGGGATTTTGGGCACCTATGTCCGTGAACCCGGTGTGATTTTCAAGTCGCCAGGTCTGGGACTCGAACCATGGTTGGCTATGTGGGAGCGCAGGGCCTTAACCACTACACCATCCGCTGGTTCCCTGCAATTGTTTATTGACAGTGGGAAGAAGCAGAGTCTTGTCTCTGAGCTTGGAATATGAGAATGGGAGGAAGGGCCAGGAGAAAGTTTTTTCTTTACCAGAAGAGAAAAGCAGAGGAAGGCTGAGTTCTGGGACATAATAAAATTCCTAGTAGGGTCAGCTCGTGGTGTGGTGGTCGAGGCGGCTGACGGTATGTTTCAAGTCCCAGACGGCGCAGCTTATAAAGCATGCCAGGCGTGTGTGGGCGTACCCAGAGTCCTGCGAGAAGGATGAAAGGACAGGATTGCAGTGTGGCCATCCCCGAGGGGTGCTTCCTCACACTCCCTTCTCCCTCTCTCCAGAAAGCACATGCACGTGAAAACCTCTCTAAAAAAAAAAAAAATCTTAGCTTGTAGAGCCCACAGAAGCGATCTTTCAGCCTTCTTCTTACAGACGGGAAATTGAGGCCCAAGGAAAGGAAAAGTGTGAGATCCCACAGCCAGGGGGTGGGAAGGACGCTTTGAAGTCCAGGGGCAGGGCCATTGCCTCCAAGGCCTGCGAGCTTTCCCCAGGCTCTGGCTAGGCCCCCTCTGACCCCTGCCTCTCCCCAGCAAGGGTTCAGTGGACACCTGGCCTGGACGCACCGCGTAGCCTGGGCTATCCATGGCCCACCGTGCCCGGAGCCTGTGCAGGCGGGGACCAAGGAGTGAATCACTTTCCTTCGGTCCAGAGGTCGTTTCAGAAATCAGAGGCACATGGGAACCAGCAGTTAGCATAATGGCTATGTCGCTGGACTCCTACGTAGTCGACCGTGGTTCGCGTCCTGGACCTGGTGGCTTAGAACTCACGCCGGGCGCATGTGCATGCGTGCCCAAGATCCCGAGAGGAGAATGGAGGAGAAGAGACTGCGGCGTGGCCATCCCCCCTGGGGGGTGATTTCTCGCTTTCTGTCTCTCTGTCTCTCTCTGTCTGTCTGGCGAGCGCACGCGCCCTATAGCAAAAACCTCTCCAAGAAAAAAAAAAAAAAAGAAATCAGAGGCACGTGTTTCCTCCTGGCGATGAGAGCGATGTAAATTTCCTCCTTTATAATTTCTAGGCTTGTCTGAAAACTTACAACAAACATCTAGAATTTTATTAGCCACCCACACTTTTATAAGGCAGGACATTGGAGAGGGGTGAGACGGCCAGCTCTATGCTGAGCTCCATCAGGCAAGACCAGCCAGGATCTGCACACCTGCCAGGGCCCCCTGCTGGAAAAGCCCCTGAGCTCCTTCAGCTCCAGGCCTGGCATCCAGCAGCCCCACCCTCTTCCTCACTTTGCTCTACCGTGCCCTGCTCCTCAGTGCCCAGCTCCCTTTACCACTGACAGATCGGACTCACTCTTCGGGGCCCGATACCAAGTCTGTATGTTTTGTATGTGTGTGTGTGTGTGTGTGTGTGTGTGTAGGTTTTTGCTACAGGGAGTGTGAGCTTGCCGGAGAGACAGAAAGTGACAGAGAGAGGGGAAGTGAGAAACCACCTCCCAGGGAGGATGGCCACATCGCAATCCCTTCTCCATTCTCCTGGCATTTTGGGCATGCACGCACACGTGCCCAGTGTGATTTTTTTCAAGATGTTGGGTCTGAGACTCAAACCGTGGCCAGGTCTGCCGTGTGGAAGTCCAGCACCTTAGCCACTCCGCCACCTGCTGGCCCTCCAGTTGGGCGTTTTAGAGCCCTCCCTCCCTCAGCTGGGCGGCCAGCTGCTTCCTTCCTCTGACCACATACAGCTCCTTGTGAGGACCTGTTTCAGAATTGTCAGCATCCTGCCTGGTCCTGGAGTCATTTCTAGCAGGTTCGTCCCCCCTGCGGGACTGAGACGTCCCTTGGCAGGCCTGCACGTCTGTCTTTGTATTCCCACGCCAGCCTCAGCCGGACACGTGCTGGCCTTCAAGTGCATGTGTGTGAACCTTGCGTGAACTGACACTAGGACCCGAGAGAGGGTGTCGTGGTGTGCCAGGAACGGCAGGGCTCACCACCCTCAGCCCTGGGCCTCTGGGGACCTGCGGTGCTCAGACTGACTCTACCCACCACCCAGCTCCATGGCCACAACCCGAAGGACAGGCACCTCCGCTGAGGGCCACTGGACGGGGGCTGTGACCGGGCCCTGGAGTGGGGCACCGCGTGCTGGATGAGAAGGCCAGGCTCCCAGAGAGCGAAGAGCTGAATCGGGTCTCGCCCCGAGGTCTGTTTCCAGTCCACGTCTTGTCCTGCCTCCTGGAGGCTTCTCGGGACCCCACCATGACCTTTGTGTGCACCCACCCCACCCTCATGTCCTGGTTTCCACCCACCCCTTCCCCCTGCCCACCCACGGCCTGTGCCAGGCTCTGACCCACTGGCTGACCCCGCTGTCCGTGCAGACCGGACACGCCGTCACATCTTCTTCAGCTCCTTGGGCTCGTCCCCGTGCTTGAACACGCTGATGGTGACCTGGCCCGTCTCGGAGCCGTACTTGTTCTTGACGAAGACGCCGTAGCGCCCGCTGTCCTCACTGCTCACTCTCTCGATGGTGATGGTGACCTCCGCCCCCCGCACCTCCATGCGGTAGCGGTCAAGGAAGGTGACAGGCTGGTCATTCTTCAGCCAGGAGATTTCAGGGGTGGGGTCTCCTGAGATGACGCAGGTCAGGCACAGCGTCTGTTTCAGTGGACGGGAATGAACAGTCTTACCTCCTTGTAATCTGAACTTGGCGTCTACCTGCACGCCCTCAGCCCCCAGCACAGGCTGCTTCCTGTGCTAAATTCACTGTGTGTGGTTTATTGTAACCCGTAAAGGGGGGAGACATTATATTTTTATTTATTTATTTGTTTTTGTTTTTTATTTTTTGCTATAAGGCATGTGTGCTCACTGTAGAGAAACAGAGAGAGAGGGAAAGTGAGAAATTACTCCCTGGGGGAATGGCCACACTGCAATCCCTTCTTCTCCATTCTCCTCTCTTGATTTTGGGTGTACACACTCATGTGCCCGGTGTAATTTTCAAGCCAGTGGGTCTGGGATTCAAACCACAAGAGTTGGCCATTTGGAATCTAGTGCCTTAACCACCACACCACCTGCTGGGCTGAGACGTTTTATTTCATTCCCGTATCCTCCATCCTCGACTCTTCCATAGGAATACAGTGATCTCGGTGTCCATGGGGGATTGGTTCCAAGACCCACAGGGGTACCCAGATCCATGGGTGCTCAGGGCCTGCTCATAAAGCAGTGTCTGCACAGACCCTCGTCATCCTCCCGCTCTCGGTCATCGCCCGAGGACTCCCACCTGATACGATGCGGATCCCTGTAAGTGGTGGTTATACCGCGTCGTTTATACTTTTTAACCTGCATTGTTCTTTATGCATCTATTTTTGATACATTTGACGGACCATTGGTTGAACCTGTGGATGTGGAAACCCCAGCCTCGCTTGCTAGCTGACACTATTACTCGAGACTGTTACTACCCCGGCAATGACCAGCTCCAGAACAGCCTGCACGTCGTTGCTTTATCGCTTTCTGGCATTTAGCTAGCTGACACTATTCCTCGAGCCTGTTACTACCCTGGCAATGACCAGTGGAAACCCCAGCCTCGCTTGCTAGCTGACACTATTACTCGAGACTGTTACTACCCCGGCAATGACCAGCTCCAGAACAGCCTGCACGTCGTTGCTTTATCGCTTTCTGGCATTTATCCGTCTTGATTTTACTATGCAAGTCAGCTGATGCAGCTTCAGTACAAGCAGGGTCCTCCCGCGAGCCCTGTCCTGCAGTGGTCGGACATGCAGGCCCTGGAGCTGGGCTGCCGGGTGGGAGTCTCAGCTCTGCCCCTTTCAGCTGTGTGACTTCCGCACCGTTCCTTAGCCTCTCTGGGTCCCAGTTTGCTCAGCTACGCAGTGTGACGAATAATACCTCCTTTCATGTGGATGTCTTGATGGTAAAGGAGCTAGAGAATACCAGGCATGGGGACTAGGGTTTGCATGAAGTAAGCACATGACAGTATTAGCACTTGTGTTCAAGAATGTTAGACTCAGAGCCAACAGATGGCGTAGTGGTTAAGTGGCTGGACTCCCATGTACTCGACCGCAGTTTGAGTCCCGGATCTGGCGGCTTAAAATTCACACCAGGTGTATGTATGTGCATGCCCAAGATCCCGAGAGGAGAATGGAAGAGAAGGGATTGTGGCATGGCCATCCCCCTTGGGGGGTGATTTCTCACTTCACTTTCTCTCTGTCTCTGTCTCTTGGGCACAGGTCCTATAGCAAAAATCTCTCTCTCAAAAAAACAAAACAAAAACAAAAACAAAAAAGAATGCTAGCCTGGCATAGTTTGGCTCTAGGCGGGCTTTTTGGGTGAGCCAGCTGAACCCCCCTGGAAACTAGGGTTGCCCGAGATGCCCAGGGCTGTCTAGAGAGGGTAGCTGGGAAGAGGTCAGGCCTTCCACGGGATCTGACCCCGGATGCAGGGCTGCCCTTCAGACCACACGCAGCGAGGCTCGTCACTCAGCCATGCTCTGGCCCTTAGGCTGACCCCGACCCTTTGGGTCTTGAACCCACAGAGCTATGGTAGTTCACAGCCTGTGATGGACCCACGAGGGGACATGGGTGGGGCTGCTGGCCAGGGAGGGCAGTACCTTATCCTCCATGATCGTGGCCACGTCCGGCAGGCCCCTCACCACTTTGGCACGATCTGGAACAGACAGAGGAGACCCCAGAGATGACTACTTTCCTGCCAGCTGCTTCCCAAAACAGGCTTCCACCCAGCTGAGGTGTATCGTCAAGCAAGGCTTCCTTTTTCGGTTTTCCTCACTGTGGACAGGAATCTCATTTCCTTGTCCTTGTCAGCAGATGCGGGACACAGTGTGTCTGCCACTGGTTTGAGGTCACCATCACGTCGTTGCTTTATCGCTTTCTGGCATTTACCTGTCTTGATTTTACTATGCAAGTCAGCTGATGAAGCTTCAGTACAAGCAGGGTCCTCCTGCGAGCATCTACACCACAGGTGCTCAGGGAGTGAGCCGGGAGGGTGTCAGGAAGAAAGCCTGGGAACGCGCTGAATCTGATCAAATGGGGTCCTGGTGGCCGCTCTAGGCAGGAAGAGTGTGTACCTACAGAAAGCCGGGGATCTCTGATGTTGCAGCGCAGGTTGTGGGTGTAGACAGGTGGTCGGCACAGACCTGGACACGGACCAGGGAGGCCAGGACCTGGGGGCCAGGCAGGTCTGTCCAGTGGATGAGAGGGGAGTGGCCCTGCACTGGGTGGGCAGGACCAGGGAGTTTTCCACAGGCCCTCCACAGCTGGGCGGGGTGTTCCACTTCCTCGACTCGGATTCCTAACCCCAGCATCACGGATCATGGAATTGAGCTTCCCTCTTCTGGGGTCCAGGAAGGGGGCTCCTGTCCGAGGGCAGGGTGGACCAGGAGGGGCGAGGGATGTCCTCGCTGAGCAGACAGAGGCTGCCTTGGACGGCGTGGGGCTCTCCAAGATGGATGGCCCTGCCAGGGCTCCCGGCTACGTAGACCTCCCCGTGTTCCCCTCCAGTGACAGTGTGGAGGCCGGGGCTGTGCTTCCCGTCCAGCGGGATGCTTGGGGACAATGGCGCCACACCGGGAGGAGCCTGTGT